TGGGCTTTTGGAACCTGATCTAAACTACATTTTATGATTGGATAAATTAAATGTTTTACCAATGTAAAGTATTTAATATTAACCAATCATGATCCATCTAACTAACAACCCACTTATTTGTAAGTGCTGAAGTTACTTGTAATTTCAGCACCAGAGAGATTTGAATTTAACTTAGAAATTAGTTGGACTCTCCCGAGCACTTCAGCAGCCGCAATAAACCAGTATACCCTAGATCTATTGAGCCTAGCAGAGACTAGTTAAACAACCTGAGACTAGATAGTATAAGAGTAAGATTAGGATCGGTATTAGACTAAGAAGTTGCACGAATCTATCCGGCCGAAAATAAGATAGCGTGACGAGCAGACGGTGTACCCTATCCGAAATTACTCTATGAGTTACACTTCGGTCATAACTCATCTGGTGCGACCATAAGTCTCGAACAAGACCTTAATAGATTAGAATTAACCAAAATAGATTAGAAATTAGACAAAAACATTTACAAAAATGTTATACGACAATAATTTAATCGAAATGTCTCTACGACTCAATAGATCAGAGCCAATATTCCGAACCATAACAGAACTACCCGGAATTGGAAGAAGACCTCGAACCAAAGACGACATACGACAAAGTAGAAACTTGCCGTATAGTTATATGATAGTTCGGCAAAAGCCAGAACAAACTTTTATATTTCGAATACTACTTGCAATGAATTTAGATTTCCATTTGCAAACATAAAACCTTGAAGTTACTCTTCAAAATCATTTCAGGCGCTAAACAAATTTATTAATATACAATAACGATTGATAAAAAGATCTAAGATCGTTTTCCTAAAACTCTGCAGTATTATACAAAACATGTTTGAAAAATATTTATTGGAAAATAAAAATAAAAATTAGTAGCATGACAATAAATGGTTAGTAATCATAAATCATCCTGTTGTTCCAGCTTCATCATCTAAAACATAACAGCAATCATAAACCCACTAATATCATCAAAACACTAAATCTTTCCTTTACACACATTTAAAATTTTATTAAAACTTAAATTCACTTAATTTTAAAACCAGATCATCAAGGCTTATCCTTGGATCTTAAATCATTTTCTACTTAATTAAATTTCAAATTTGATCATCAAGGCTTATCCTTGGATCAAACAGA